TGGCTTGCTAAACAGACTAATGCTAGTAGTAATGCATTATCTAACCTTTTGTTAGATGTTGACAGTGTTCGACATGCTACACTGCAAAATAGAGCTGCTATAGATTTTTTGTTATTAGCGCAAGGCCATGGATGTGAGGACTTTGAGGGCATGTGTTGTATGAATCTTTCTGACCACTCAGAATCAATTCATGCTAGTATTCAACAGCTTAAGGCGGGGCTTTTTAAGCTCCGGCAGGATGATAGTTGGGATTGGCTAAACAAAATTTTTTGGGGGTGGGGGTTTAAGAAGCTTTGTCAAAGGGGCTGTATATGCTTTGGTTGTCTTTATTCTTTTGTTATTCCTTTTACCTTGCTTGTTACAATGCCTACAGAAGTTAATTGCGAGATCTATTAAGAAGATTCTTGTTGTGCAAAAGGAAGGGGGAGATGAAGGCCAGAGCTCAGCTAGCCTCAACAAAACTTCAAGTGTTAAACAACTGATAAAGGAGGACATGCTGGAACTCGTTGGCCGCAAGCCCTGGGAGGAACCAGATAACAATGTTGTCTAGAAGGAACAGAGAATGCCTGCTCTGTTGAGGAATACAGACAGTAAATTGTGTTGAAAAAAGATGTGCTAAGGTCCTTGTAGTTTGGGCAAGGAAGGTATGTTAGTATTAACCAATGAGTAAATGTCTAGTGCCTAAAATTAGCCAATCAGTAGAAGACACGCTGCCTTTGCTATAGATATAAGAAACCTAAGAAATCCTAATAAATCGACATCTTGCTTGCATCAAGCTGTGTCCCGTCTCTTCATCGCGGCAGGAGGGGTCCAGGCTCGCTGCGTCCCAACCTGCCCACACTGGAGATGCTTTGGAGCCCCCCCACTTGGAGCAAGAGGTTTTTTTGGGAGGTGCCCACATCTCACAGGGAAAAAGGCCCATCCTGGTGCCAAGTGCCAGGCAGGGAGGGTGGCTGGGTGCCACAGGGCCACCGTGTGTGCCCCAACCAGGCCATATCCCTGAGCTGAGGCACATCCCAGGGGTACCAGCAGCACCCCATGCCCTGGGCTGCCTGCCCAGCCCCACTGCCACAACCCAGCCCCATCACCCATACATGCCTCCCACTCTGCCCCTGGGTGCCCCCCAAGCACCCCCATGTTGCTGCCTGAGCCCTGCACCAAGCACTGATGCTTCTCTGCCTTGCAAAAGTGAACTAATTGCACTAAATTTAACTAAAAGCACTCATTGCACATTTACTCCTCCTCACTTCAAGAGGGGCCTCACTGGGAGCTCCCGGGTGGTTCCTAGGTGGCACTGTGGGACATTCTGTATGGTGGGCATGCTGCCCCCTGCATATACGCATACCCCTGTACCACCACACTGCCTGCACCTGTACCGCTGTGCAAAACTCACTGCACTGCACACCTCAGACCCCCTGCACATGCACCACTGTGCAAACCATGTGCACACAACCACACACTCACTGCAGGGATGGAGGCCAGGGCTGACAAGGGCTGACAGCAAAGGGAGCCGCTCCACACCACAGGGTCAGCGGGGCCACCCTCCTGCCAGCACCCCAGCATGCACCTGCGGGGGACTGGCTCTACCCAGCCAGGCACCAGGCCCACCCTGCCGTGTCACCCTGGTCCAGCCATGGGTCCCTGGGGCAGATGGGCGTACCCAAGGGCCAGTCCAAAATGGTGGGGGAGTCACTCGGGTCGAGTGATGGGGAGCAGCTCCCTGTAAGCCTCTGCGGTTTCCTTCCAAGCATGTAAATCTGTTATCGAGAACGGCGCTTTCACTGTTACTGGACCGTTATTTCCAACTCCTTGCTTACCTTTAGCCTGAAAGTACCATTTGGCTGGGGAGCCCAGCAGCTGGAGGAGGAGGGAGAGCAGCAGGCAAAGCCTGCCCCAAGCACTCCCCATCTTCTGCACTTGCGTGGCCATGGCCAGTATTGAGCTGGGCTGCTTCACCATCCTTCCGAGGTTGCCTTGCTTCTTTATTGCCTTTACTCCTTTCCCTTTTCTTTCTCTCTAATGCTCTTCCCCTGATCCCAACAAGAGATATTTATAAAGTTCAGCTTTATGACCCTGGCCACGAGCTGTACCCCACTGGAAAAGTTGTAAAACTCATTTCCTGATTTGAAAGGCATGAAAACAAGAGGTAGGATCAAGATTTTTAACAAACTGTGAAAAGCTGATTCATGCCCTCCAGAAATGTCTCAAGTTGGAAGCCCCTGTGGGTGCAAGGCACCACAGTGAGGGGAGATCCAAGGGACCCTAGCAGGGTTGCCCTTGGCAGAGTGGTGGGTGTGTAAGCAGCAAGTGTGGGAGCCCTTGGCCCCTGACCAGGAGGAGAGTGGGGTCCCCTCTGGTTGTGCTGAGCCATCTCTGATCCCTCACAGCGACCGAGGGTTTGGGAGCATCCTATCTTGCAGGGACCAAAGCAGCATAGGCATCCCATTAACAACCAGTGTGGGTGTCCTGGTTCCGGCAGGGATGGGGTTTATCTCCCCAGGAGCCGGCAGGCAGGCACCCAGGGAAGCAAAAGGCAGGGAAGGAGAGTGGCCGGGAGGGGGAAGAGTGGGACTGACAGGTTGTGGGGGACCACCAGCCCCATCCCTGACACACAGCCATGGCGTGGCGGGGGGGTGCCTTCCC